CTCAAACTTCTGTTCACAGTAAGAGAAAATATCAAGTGGTGATAAAGAAAAAACATCCGAGACTTCATCAAGCGCACATCGTTGTGGGGGGCCCTAAGTCAAATGGATTAAATTAGTTTCAATTCTTTGCTGTGGGAGTGAGCGTGTCAGAGGTTGGCGCTCAGTCACCACTGGTGTCAACATGTCCCAGATTCACACTCTAAAAAGCCTGAGCCTTAACCGGATACAGGGGCTACGTGTTCATCCACGACGAATACAATCTATCTGTCCATTAAAGGTTTATTGTTGGACATGTCACAGAGTGGAATAAAAAAAGATTGCACCAACCAAACACCATTGTCTGGTCAAATCACAGCTGTTGTCCATGAGAGCGGAGCAGGGATGAGTGGCGTGTGGTGTTTGGAGGTGTTGTGTGTGTGCAGAACAAAGGATGATGACACAGAGTGAATGTCAGCACAGCCCAGTATTTTTAGTCTCAAAGGCCCAGGTGACTGACATCAGCTGTCACCCTCCTCCCCCGTCCCTCCCCCCGTGTCACCTCAGGCCTATTCACAGCAGTCATGTGTGAATATGGACACGTGTAAGAGAAGGGTATCAGGAATCTGGGCTTTGATTGATACCTTTGTTGAGTTTGGGCATTTTTGGATGGAGTGCACCTTAAAAAAAAAAAGGAAAAAACATTTTTGTTTCTGGTTGATCTGAGGGTCAAGGTTGTTGTTGTCAGTGACTCTGGCAACTTCTGGACGATTTCACACAGTTATTATCAGGGTTTTCTCCATCTTGGCTCCCAAGAACAACAACAACCAATCACAGCTGAGGAGTCATGAATTCTAAAATTTAGATAAATACAATTGGCCAAAATAGGAAATATTTATATGTGGTTAAACAGTGAAGCGCTTGTATTTTTTTGCAATTGTATTTAGGCTCCAGTCATTTCAATGATATGGGTTCGAATCCTATCTGGTTCCATAGTGTAGCGGGTATTATACGACTATTTGGTTCAGTACTTGATCAAGAACGGACATACTGTATTTCCGTGGTCCAGATTAAGGCCACCACTCCCAGTTTCCTGTAGCTTTTCATTATTCTTCTGCCTTTGTCGTCTTTGGTCGACTGTTTTGCTGCTGTTTTACCCTCTGAGTGGGGGTCTCTGTGTGTTTGTGTCCCGTAGAAAAGTAGGTGATGGTAGTGTGTTAGTGAGTGAATGCACAGTATGCAATGGGAATAAAACAAATGGAGTGATGGATTTAAATATTTGGAGAGAATGTATTAAGTGCAGCTCAGGAAACCAAATTATACAGTATATTACTCCCACCTTATCTGATGTGCCATTACCATAATTCCTATTTCAGTTATGAGTTTCATGCTGCAGTGGAGGGCTGTCAGCAGTAACTAAAAGCTTCACTGCTAGACTATTGTTATTACCAAATGTATAACTAGCCTTGTCCTTTTGCCCCGGAGCTGAAAAAGTAATATTTGATCCTGAATCACTCCTTCAACCAGTTGTATCAGTCTTTAGAAAGCCTTATGTGAAATAAAAATGTAAATGCTGGCAATCTGAGTCAAAGGGAGTCAGGGTTATTGAAATCGTAAGTGGTTGAATTTTAATATTGTGTTTTCAAGGTTTGAAAAATAAGCAGGGGCTTTGAATGAAGTGCTTCAAATGGCATTGAAAAAGCTGGGATTTGAAAAAGGAAAATTATAAGATTATGAGATTTGAAAAAGGAAAATTATAAGATTAAAAAAAAACACACTTTCATTAATGTGCTTTATCACCCTAACCTGCTGCAGGTTTAATGCAGTTCTCTTCTTTATTTGAGTTATTAGCACATGTATAAAGCTAACAAGTTTGCCATTGTTAAATATCTTGCACTATGAAAAGTCACTTTTTTTTATCATTTATGTTGTGTTTTCTTTTAAACAACATCCTGGAATAAGTTGCACTGGAAAAGGAACACAGCTTTGTGTTTCCAGTACATCACAAGCCAATTTAATGAAAGGTTAAGCAAACATTTAATCATTATTAAAGGTCATTTACTCTCACCCTCACTGGCAGGCTGCAGCTAACCTTTCTACATCTTTTAAAGGACCATGTCGGAGCTTTTGGATGTACAGTATAAATAACTACATGGAATAAAACGCCATCAATCAATCATGGGCAAGTTTAATTACCCTTATATGTCAGTTTACAACCAAGGGCAATTATTCCATTTCAGAATTGTGGTAAGGAAGGGAGTGAACATGTTTTAGGACTGACTCCTCAAGGTGATTCCAAGGTGCGTAGCACTGATTGGCCTTGAATAATTGATGGCCAAATAAATGAAGCTGAACCGTCATATTGAGGAGTCGTACCTGAGATGTGTTCAGTGTGTTGTCTTTGTACGAATCACACACAAGTATAACACAGTTGTTTTCAGTACGAACAGTAGAGAAGGAACAAAAGAAGAGCCAAACACGTGTTGTGGGTTTTTTCGTGTCTTGTTAAGACACAAAGTGCTTTAGAAATAAAAACCAATATAATTACAGAACATAGATCCTGAACACTTTGGAGATATTCTATATCTTCTAACTCATCCAGGCTCAGAATATCCTCATGGTCTGGATGGACCACCTTGTTTAATCCGCAGCCTGCCCCAGTGACCTGACCCAGAATAAGCTGTGGGAAATGGAGGATGGATGTTTGGTTTGAGGTTTAGGAGTTCATAGGACAAATGGGGAAAATTCCAATTTCTTTTTGGCCCTAATGTGTCTGTCTGCAGGCTCAAGGCCTGGTTTGGGAACTGAACATTGCTTTTTCTGGTGCATTCAATAGAAACACTGGGAAATTCATACCTATCATAGAGTTTTACCTATCTTTGGTTGATAATCCAGTACCCAAACCGCTTAGAAAAATTAGAATTTTTTTTATAATTTTGACTAAATATTTTTTTAATAATTCTTTGAGGTCATATTGCACAGTCTTTATCTTCCAGGCATATTTTTTGTGTTGTTGCATAATGTTCAACTTATTTTAAACTAAATTTAAGGTCTTCTTTACCTAAAGAATACCCAGGAAATGTGAAAATGATTTGTAGAAATTGTTTTTATCCATCATCATAATTGTCAGAATAACAATAGCAGTAACAATAATAGTTCAATAACTGTCAACTGTTCAGATTAGCAAAAGCTCTTTTTTTTCCTGCTCTAATCATGGTAATAAGGATAAAAACAGAAGAAAATGTAACTTTTTCAAAGTTAAAAAACAGCTGTATTTGCACATTTGAAACATCTTTTGGCTGCGATGTGTCAGAAGTGCTTTTCCCTACGACCCCTGACAGTGTCCTGGGAGGCCGTGGCACATGGTCGGTGTTGGCCGTTAATTAACTCCCTCCCGCCTCGACCGTACCGTCTTCCTGCATGTCAGACTTGTTTATTTTGCACAACAGGAACAATTATGTAGCTGACAAGGCAGCCTCTGTTTGAAGCCTTTTGCTATAGCTTCAGCGGCTAACAACGTGGCCAGGCGGTCGGCGCACAGTACCCTGCTGCTGCCTTGTAACCTTCAGAGGATGCCTTGAAATGCGCTTTGTAGTATGTTAGCGTATTATCATCAGCAGATGTCCAACCCCACCGCCCGCCCCTGCACATCTTTGAAAAATGAGGTTCCGTCTTGAATATTAAAGACAGCAGGGTTCATTTATTTAGGGGGATGCGTTCGGGGCCTCGCGGGGATGCTGATTTGAATCTCCTTCGTTAAGCTGTCTATCCTTATCTGTCAGCATCAGAGGATGCAATTTCTCCCTTCTCACCTCATCCTCCTCCTCTCCTAAATGGCAGGGATACTTAGAAGGTGCTTGACAACGAAGGTATGCAAATTAGCTGTTGATGGTTTCACATTTTATTCTAGTTCATTTCAATTCTTAGCCCCGGGTCCATCTCGGAGTTGGTCTCCCTGAGATTCTTTTTGCTGTCTTATTTTTCTGTACAAATGTGAGAATTATTCTGAAAACATTATCCATTTTCATAAGGTTTCTCTCGACCTTAACAGCCATTTCAACCCGCAGTGTCGAGGAGTAAAATTAGCAATTCACACCTCATTATTCAGTCTTGCATTTTGCTGTAAAGGTGTAACACATGCACATGAGCAAATCCCAGATGTATTTAAAATACATCTCATATAAAATAATTTGTAATTTTGCAGTGATCATTTTCTCCCCCCTCCCCCCCCCCCCCCCCCCCCCCCCCCACACCCCTCACCCCTCTCTAAATGCCTTTTCCTCTGAGAGTCGTTGTGAGAGCTGCAGTTAATCCCACTTTATTGTAAGAGTGAACGTGAGCGTGGATGGTGGTTTGTCTCTTTGAAGTTTTAAACTAAGGATAATGTTTGCAAATTTGGTGTCTTCCCTCTGGAGTTTACCATTTGTATACAATGGAAAATCTTTGAAGCTGAGAATTAAACCAGTGCTGACTAACTGACTACTGTATGTATAAAAAGTGGCCAAAGCTGAGTGGTTGAGAAAGTGAAACACCCAGGAAAAAGTTCCCTTTGTACCAAGTCTTGTATATTTCAGTAGTTCTTAGCCAACATTAGCCATATTTGTCTAATAGCATTTTATCTATTTCTTTGTTATGCTAATTCTTCATACATTCAATCAGTGATACAGAACCAAAAATATGTCTTGGGATGCTGACCAGATATGATTTGCCGTTGGCAAGCAAGTAAACAAAATTTCACAGCTTAGACATTAGCCATATTTGTCTAATAGCATTTTATCTTAGTTTAGGTTTTCAGGGTTTTTTTTTCTTTTTTTAAAGCCTTTTGGTACGCACCTGGAAATTCAGAAAACACTTTTTGTATCAAAAGAAAATTTTAAAACATATTTTTGCTATAATGTGTTCAAACACAGTTGTATCAAAGTGTTTTTGTTCTTGTTCAGCTTGGAAAACACACCACGTTTACTCATTCTGATGGCCTCCTCACATCTGGTGGTAACTGACGTGTCCTTGTCTTTGTTCCCCAGTGGTGAGTCAGAACCTGGTGACAGACAACGTGTCAGTAGTGGAGGGCGACATGGCGATCATCAGCTGTCGGGTGAAGAACAACGACGACTCTGTGATACAGCTGCTCAACCCCAACAGGCAGACGATTTACTTCCGAGACCTGAGGCGTGAGTATTGTGCTGTACTACTTACTTCTGTCAGTGGAGCAGTGTAACCTGTCCAATGAAGTATTTCCTTCTAACAGTATGAGGAACTTTGAGTACCAACAATACATTTCAAGAACCTGAACTGCTCTCTTGGTTCACACAGTGAAAGTACCATAAAGTGGTATTAGATACAAAAAAAACCATTATGATGAATCCTTTAAATATATGTCGCGGTTAGGCTAGCATCAGTCTTTAAAACTTCGGTCACTGCCCTCCTGTTTTCACAAAGCTAAATCTCTCTAGTTTAATTTTGTAAAACTTAATCTCACGCGGCTTAAATACATCCTGGATCACATAACGCTGGGCTGTCACGGACAGCGGGAAGGATTTACACTGCACCACCGTCGTGTCTGCTGTGATTGATATCTAATGTGTTTAATTATAGTCTGAAGCTGTTTGATACGATCAGATGACATGGAAATCCATCTTACTGATGCGTTTATTTATCTCGTCTTTCACTGCTTCATTTTGCAGCCAACTGTAAAATTAGACAGACGGTTGATAAATTAATGCAAATATACAGTGTCATCAATACAGTGTTTGGTTGAACAGCCGTGTGTGAGCTAAACATGAGCAGCCAGTGAAGGTGCGGAGTCTTAGAAAAGAACATGTATTACTTTTAAGGCAGGTCTACACTTGTGGGGTAGGTTTGAAACGTTGTGTTACTTTTAAGGCAGGTCTACACTTGTGGAGGTTAACCTTTGCTACTTTTGGGCTAATAATTAGCCTTTTCACCTCATTTATCTCCATGCTTACTTTATTTATCTATAGATTGTTTTACGTGTTGTGACTATTTGTGGCCTTGCTTATTTTGCTTCCTTTTGACATTTACATTTTTGCACATCCTTATTTAAATTTTTTTTAAATGTCTGACTCAATTGGAAACTTTATTTTCCAATATGTTCATAGGCTCCTCCATTAGGCTTAGGGTTTTCATTTAATGAGAACACACTTTCTAAAATTGTTAAACTTCACCTTACTTGGACGATATCAGTCCTGTGGTTATTAAGCTACTGTAAACTTTATTAAATACCATCAACATCAATGCTCCTCCTGTAAAAACACCAGGTGTTTGTTTTTGTTCTTTTGGTTTTTTTTTTGTTTTGTTTTGTTTTTTTGTCTTTCTATTCTGTCCACTTACCATGCTGGCCGTCATCTCTTCTGGACCCTGCCAGGATTTGGTCCCTGTGCTTGTCTGCAGCATGTTGACCTCAGTGAAACATAAAGTAGCCCTTTGTTTCTATATGTGTATCAAATATAAATCTCAGAGTGAGCAGATGTTGTTTTGAAAGACCCATATGTTTCCAGACTTGTTGTTTAAGCGTTCCTCTGGGCAGGTTGCACAGTTCCTCAACCCTACATCCAAAAACACATGTTCACTGGTGTACAAACCATGTGTGTAAGTAGTAGTAGTTAGTAGTGTAGTACTAACAGTTTCCTGTCAAAGTAATGGTACGCACCAAGCTGTTGATTTTAAGTTGCAGACAGCAAATAGAAGCGTAGCTATAAAGCCAAACTGCAGACAAAAGTTAGGTACTGTATATGATTTATTTCTGAAGTAGGCCAGCAACATCCAAGCAGTGGTGATTACTGTTTGAATGTCTTCCTGTATTCTGAGACACACAAACACACACATTCAAATTAGCTGTTGGAAAAGTGAGGTTTTAAAAGTAGGATTGATTTTTTTATATGTATATTAAATTTGCAGAGTTTGTTATTCTCTCTGTAATGATTCTAATCACAGAGCAACGCTGCAATCAGTACATCAAACTCCAGCAGTGCTTGTTGCCTGGATTAGCTATTAACGTGTCATGAAACAAATGCTGCCAAACACGACTTCACCTGAAATGAGTCGCTCCACCACTGATGTGGAATCATTTAAGCTCCGGCTCACTCTGTTAGCTACTACAACTCTCACTGCTCTTTCAGTCTGACCTGCGGAAAACCTTCAGTGCGTGTGCATGTGTGTGCATGTGTGTGAGCGGTGTTCTAACCCCACTCCCACACACGGGCGCTAAAACACAGATGTTTCCTGCAGCATCTAATAAGAAAACAAAATTAGAAGGTAATGCTGTGTTTTACTTCAAATTAAATGTAATTTTCACACCCACCTCTCATTGCTGGTTAGCAACCCATGCTTGAAATTCTACAATTTAAGCCTGTAATAGTTAGCTTTACACACACATTAAAACCTGGGTTGAAAACGGCTCTGTCTCCTGGTGACAATAGCTATCACCTGGACTGAATTAAAATGTGAATTTCAGAGCCTCGTTCTAGTGTTTATTGGAACACTTCTGCCTCCACGCTAACCTGCCTCTTCTGTGGGTCTGTGCACCCATGGTTTTACAAACGTTGGAAAGAAGAACCTTGAAAACCTCCACAGTTTGACACTTACAGTTTTATTGAATAGAAACTGACTGACAAGCATAAGATGTAACATTTCTTCCTGAACTTGACCCAGTGTCAGGGACACGGTCTTGTTTACAATGTTTTGTAACAGCTAAAGAGAGTAATTCTAGGCTAACGTGTAGTTATCATGTTAGCCAAGTGATTTAAACCATTTAAACCGTTTGATTTTTTGTGTTTATTTTATATTTCTTCTGATATTCTCCTATTTCTTGGCTTTTACCGTTTTAATTATCTCAAAAACATTTAAGCATTTAAGATAATATTTGTACTATTATAGAATATAATTCATAATGATAAGATTCATAATGAATGCAGTTTTTGGTTTTTTGCCAAGAACATTTTTAGAGATAAGGAATTAGACTTGTATATTGGTGCCTTAAAATAAAATAAATTTGAATGTAAAGAATATGTACAGTCAAAGCCAACATTACTTATACTGTCTGAGTTCACTGATGTGAGTGTAATGTTGTAGCTGTAGCTGTATTATAGCCTGGTCAATAGGCTGTGTTTGTGTGGGAGGCAAGGTTGCAGCACTGCTCATGATACTGACCTTAACCTTTTGACCCCTTGTATATCACACATAAGGGAGACATTAACTTAACCACAACATAGAGTGGATATTAAATTAGTGAATAATTTATTGGCTGCGGCTAATACAAAACAATCAATACACCAACTCAAATGTTTTCCAAACTACTGAATTAAAGAATATCACTTTTATAACTACATGCTGTCAGTTGGTGTTTTTTTTTATTTTTGTTTTTTTGGTACTGGAATAACATCTGACATTCTGAAGTTCGCCTGCAGATTTATTTATTTTTTCCTTGTCTCCTCTTTATCACTTCAGGTACAGAAGGCTGTTGATTTCTCTTTGCAATTCCAGTACATTTTTCATCTTTTGACCTCAACCTTTGACTAACTTAAAAGAAAACATAAAGAAAATTAATACCGTAGTATACGCCCAGGATTCAGTAGCTTGGTTACCACCTCCTAATCCTTAGAAACTTCCCAGCTTTTCATCGCGGCGAGTGTCAGGAACCCATTCACACTCGCCGCCCCCTCCACGCTCACATTTGCCGCCTTCCAAACACCAGTCAAGGGCAGGAGTCTTTGTGAGAGTTGGGTATTTATCTAGGTATTTATCGGGCTGTTGTGCCCCAGCTGTGGTGAGCCAACTCCCACAAGCCGACTGTCAAGGGCAAGGTGTTCTTCTTTGATGGAGGGGCTCTTTGATCTCCGGTGATCCCTCCCAGGCTTCTTCGCCTCAGCTGCACTGCTTCATTATGTCGGAGCCTCTAACAGGCAGCTTCCAAACAGCCCTGCCCACCCCCTACCCTTTAAATTACCATATACTACCGTCTTCCTCTGTGATTCCTCGGTGGTGGATTAGGTTTGTGAAGGCGACGTGGAGCGCAGAAACAGAAGAAGGAAAACAGAAAGTAAGGAAACCTTTGATATAGACCTGGAATCAACTCTTATAGAACAGTGGTGTCCAAAAGTCTTAAGAGACCTGTGTGTTTTTTATGGTTCCTCTGAAAGAACCTAGAACACAAGTAGTTTAGTCTAGTTCAGTGAAGTTTAATGTTCTGTTACATTTGTGCCTCCAGAGATCTTGTCTTTATTCTTGAGGTTGCATTGAACACTGATCTGAACTGTGTCCCTCCAATGACATGGCAGCTCATTTGACTTTATGACCTTTGGGTTAAATTGTCTTAAAGTGACTTTTTTGATACATTTATAAAATATAGAAAGGATGAGGCAAAAGGACTGGATTAAAGATCAGTAACCAAAGGTCTGCAGTGCTGTGTCCAGGTTTATAAGTCTTTCTGTCATGGTTGGGTGCCGTATTCTGGGTTTATGGGTTTGAACCAGTTGAGCCACAGCTAAGAAGTAAATCCTGAAAATAACAGAGTTCATAGTAAATATTGATAGGGTTGTAAAACCTGTTGTGTTCTGATGTAGGAGAAAATACTGAAGAAGTATGATGCATATTTTACATTAGTAAATACCACACAACAAAAATGTGATAAAGTATATTTAATGACAAATATTAATAATCTAGTTCTAGCATTTTAGTCATAGTTTACTGATTCAGTGTGAAGTCTGTTTAGTTGGACACAACCCTGATATACTCTCCGAAATTGAAGAAAGAGACATTTGAAGACCTTTTCTTTTTATCCTATTTAATAGCAAATGGCTGCCATCTAGTGGAAGGGTATTTAATTGTTCTGCTTTTTACTGTCGGTAGATGAATAAAGACAAATTATTTGTATTAAATAAATGTAATTTTAGAACAACAAAACTGGAGGATCCACTAATGTGCCACAGTGCAGTGGTTTGGAATCGCTCCATTTAGGTATAACAGTTTTTTTGAGTTATCTGTATAAAACCTAAAAACACAGACGGCCTGTGCACATTGTTGTTTTTAATGGAAGTCGGAAGATTTAGGATAGAAAAATGCTTCCACAAACAAATTATGGAAGTGAGCTTTAATATCTTGCTCTGCTGCTCACTGATGCAGCTGAGATGACTTTCACTTCTTTATGCTGCCT